TACTAACCTTACCCCCCCTGTCGCCTTCCCCCCCCACACCCCTCCCCCGAACACACACACACACACACACACACACACACACACACACATACACGCATATATACCTCATATGGGCAAAACTGCAGGTGGTTCATCAGGTGAGGCGGTCAAGGTCGTGGTCCGGTGCAGGCCGCTGAGCTCCAAGGAAGTGGCCGACGGACGGGAGCTGGCAGTGCAGATCGATGAGACGCACGCAGGAGTGGCGGTGACCAAGCCGGGCTCGTCCGCACCAGGCAAGAAGTTTACCTTTGATCATACGTACGGACCAAGCTCTACCCAGATGCAGATATTTGAAGAGACGGCGCGGCCCATCATCGACGCAGCGCTGGCCGGATACAACGGGACTATCTTTGCCTACGGCCAGACCGGGACGGGCAAGACGTTCACCATGGAAGGTGTGTACGACGACAACGATCTCCGCGGCATCATTCCCAACGCTTTTCACCACATCTTCCACCATATCGACGCCGACAAGGCCGACGGCGAGAAGCAGCGGCAGTACCTGGTCACCGCCTCGTACCTGGAGATCTACAACGAGGAGATCCGCGACCTGCTGTCCAAGAGCTACAAGACCAAGCTCGCCATCAAGGAGCACCCGGACAAGGGCGTGTACGTCAAGGACCTCTCGGCCTTTGTCGTCAAGTCGGTGGCCGAGATCAACAAGGTCATGGGCGCAGGCAAGAAGAACCGCTCGGTCGGCGCAACCAAGATGAACGTCGACTCATCGCGCTCACACTCGGTCTTCACCATCACCATCGAGTGCTCACAAATCGGCCTGGACGGCGCCCAGCACATCCATGTCGGCCGGCTCAACCTGGTCGACCTCGCAGGCTCGGAACGCCAGTCCAAGACCGGCGCAGAAGGCGATCGCTTCACCGAGGCCGTCAACATCAATCTCTCGCTCTCGGCCCTCGGCAACGTCATCTCGGCCCTCGCCGAAGGTGCCTCCCGCGGTAAGCGCCACATCCCCTACCGCGACTCCAAGCTCACTCGCCTGCTGCAGGACTCGCTTGGCGGCAACTCCAAGACCGTCATGATCGCCAACGTCGGGCCGGCAGACTACAACTACGACGAGACAATCTCGACACTCCGCTACGCTAACCGCGCCAAGAACATCAAGAACAAGCCCGTCATCAACGAGGATCCCAAGGACGCCATGCTCCGCCAGTTCCAGGAGGAGATCGAGCGGCTCAAGGCCCAGTTGCAGGCCGTCGCCGACGGCGGTGGCCCGCCTGCAGGCACTTCCGCCGCGGCAGGCACCTCGGACAAGTTTGCAGGCATGGACGACGCCGCCATCACAGAAATGGAGGCCCGCCTCGCCGAGGAGCGGGCCCGCATGGAGGCTGACAAGTCGCTCGCCCAGGAAGAGAAGGACAAGCTCGCCAAAAAGCTCGCCAAGCGCGAGGCCGAAATCGCCAAGGAGCGCCAGGCCCGTGACGACCTTGCCGCCCAGATCGCCCAGCTCGAGGAAAAGGTCATTGTCGGTGGCACCAACCTCCTCGACGAGGTCGAGAAGCAGGAGCGCGAGCTGCAGCAGGCACAGCTCGAGATGGAGCGCAAGGCCAAGGAGGCTGAGCGCCTGCAGTCCATGATGGAGGAGAAGCAGGAGGAGACGGTGCTCGAGGCCCAGAAGTTTGCTAACCTTCAGGAGGAAGTCGACGTCAAGACCCAGAAGCTCAAGCGGCTGTGGTCCAAGTTCCAAGCCGCCCGCACCGAAATCACAGACCTGCAGGAGGAGCACGCGTCCGACCGCGAGGCTCTCGTCGCTGAAATCCGCAGGCAAAACCGCGAGCTCAAGCTTTGCCGCCTTATCGTCAACTACTTTATTCCGGCCGACGATCTCGACTACGTCCAATCGGCCTGCTCCTTTGACTCGGAGGCCAACGACTATGTCGTCCGCCACCAGGACTACACCGGGAACAACATCGAGCGCGCCGCCCTGCTCAACGGTGGCTTCCAGGTCGGCCCTGTCCTGCCAGCCTCGCCTGACGCCCGCGCCGCCGCCGCACGCGCAGACGGTCCAGCCTCGCCCTCGGCCGCACGCTTCGACTCGGACAAGCTGCTCCAGTACGAGGCTGCCCTCCAGCAGCACGCCATTGCTCCGGGCGACTACAACACCGGCGAGGAGAACGAGGCGCCTGTCGACGTCCTCGAAGCCGTCCCTAACGTCTACCTTTCCTACTCGCCGGGACACCCTGGCCCCGCTGCCGGCCAGTCATCGCGCATCGCCGACGACTCGGCCCGCGCAAAGGACAAGGCCAAGTCCAAGTCCAAGGCCAAGTCCAAGGCCAAGGTCAAGGCCAAGTCCAAGGCCAAGGCCAAGTCTACTCCCGAGGAAGAGTACCCCGAGTCGCGCGGCTTTGTCGTCTCCCAGCGGCGTCGCTGACCTGTTGTGAGCTCGTGACAGCCAAGGGAAAAAAAACACACATCAGTGCTCCTGCTCGAGCTCGCGTCACATTTCGACTCCGTACCAAGTGGTAGTAGTGTGCTTTGACTTGCGATGATGCAGTTTACGTGGGACGGTGGTTTGGACTCTCAAAAGCTGTCCGAGCCCGAGCCCGAGTCCGAGCCCTCGGACATGTCGCCCAAGCGCGGTTCGGCCATGTAGTCGCCGAAAAAGGTGAAGCCGTTCTTCTCGGTCTCGCCGACAAAGACCTTGGCAAGGAGGAAGGCGTCGTTGCCGAGAGCAGTCGTGAGCTGGTGCCAGCAAAAGACAGCAACGTTTTCGGTCGTCGACACACGCTTCTTGAAAAACGCCACGTCCTTGTCGAGGTGCTTGTGGTCGAGGACGTCGAGGATCGAGGTCTTGATGACTTCTTTGAGGTCGGTAAGGTTGTACAGCATGCCGGTCTTGGGTGAAACCGGACCGCGGAGGGTGACCTTGAGCACGTAATTGTGCCCATGGCCGTGCAGCCCGTTGCACTTGCCATACAGCGCCGCGTTCTCGGCCTTGTTCATCTTGTATGTGTGCAGCCGATGCGCTGCCGAGAACGTCTCACGCCGAGTCATCTCCACTACCGGCAGCAGGCCGGACGCCGGCCGCTTGCGGACCATCTTCTTCTTCATCTGTGGCCGCCGTGGACTCTTGGCCTTGGTTTCCCTGCTCTTCTTGCTCGCCTTACTCGCCTTGCTTGTCTTGCTTGTCTTGCTTGTCTTGCTCGCCTTGCTTGTCTTGCTCGCCTTGCTCGCGCTGGTCTCGGCCGCCTTTGCGCTGCTCGACGCAACGGCATCGTCCGAGCCGGCGGAGCTCGCCTTGCTGGCTGTCTTGGCCGTAGCCGATCCCTTCTTCCCGCTCGAGGCGGCCGATGCCGACTTGGAGCTGGCCTTTTTCGTCTTCTTCTGCTTCTTGGCCGCAGGCGTCTTGCTCTTGCTAGCGAGAGTCTTCTGCCGCTTGGCCGGGCGAGGCGAGGGCGAAACGGCGACGTCGCCAGCCTCATCAATACTGGCACTCTCAGGACCACGCATCGAAGCCCGCAGAGCCTCGGCAATCATCCGCTCCTCGTCTGGGTGGAGGCTGTCGTATTTGGTGGCGACCTTGCGCTTGCGCTCGGGACGCGACATGGTAGAATCGGCTTGTGTAGCTGTTTTAGGCGGGAAGCGGGAGGGGAGGGAGGGGTGGGGGGGGATAGCACGGGGCACTTCCGAGTTGGAAGTGGGGAAGGGTGAAGGGGGGGAAAGGGGGTGGAGGTGGGAAGAGGGGCAGAGAAGAGAGCGAGCGGGGACTTGTGCTACGGGTACGTGTCAAGTCGTGTGTGGTGGGTGAGGAGGTAGTGTCAAAGGGGCTGGTGGTGGTGGTTTGGTGTGGCGCGAATTTTTCGTTGGCAGAGGGAAATCGGATGCCATGGGTGGGCGGCGAGGGGAAGCGGGGGGGGGGATGGGGATGGGGATGGGAAGATGTTGAAGTGGTGCTTGGGCAAGGAAATGGTAATGGTGTAGAGCAGGGAGCGGGGGGTAGATGGCTGGCTCGTGGGGCGCAGGAAAGGTTAGGGAGCGCTCAAGGAGGGGGAATGATTTTCAAGACTGCTGGCCTGGCGCTGGTCATAGATTCTACCGCTGTTGCGGAGCATTACGGCGTTACGGCAAACTCCCGCGAGGTGCCCGAGTATGGCTTGGTCACCTCGTCGACTTCAGGCAGCTTGAAATAGCCCGAGTGCGTGATGCGGTACGTGCCCGGGGCGGCCGAGGCCGGAATGGCCCACTCGACAGTGACAAGCGACTCGAGAAGGCGGGTGTGGCGCCAGAGGATGCGGGTCTCCCAGCAGGCATCGGTGCAGACGACCGACCAAGCGCCCGAGCCCGGCTGACGCATCTCGACGGTGAGGTAGCTCGAGTCGGTCATGTAGTTGTTGCGGAGGTTGGCGCCCCAAAAGACGACCGAGACCGTGGTATTGTCGCGGATCGAGTACGATGCGGCCGGCTGCGTACGGACGGCGCCAAAGGTGGCGTCGAGCGGGTGGATGTCGGCGAGGACCGGCGGGAGAAAGTCGTAGTTGACAAAGACGGTCGATGGTGCGGGGTGCCAGGAGCCGGGACAGGCGCGCGCTTTGCAAGCGCGGTGGCGAGCGTGTAGTACTCTTGCATGTAAGCCGCGAGCGTGTACGGACCAAAGAGCGTCGACGCCGCCTCGTAACGCTGGCGGGCGTACTCCCCGCCAGCAGTGTCGTACGTGCCAGCGGCAGTGAGCGACGGACCGGTGGCGATGTACTGCGAGTACGCGTTGGCGAGGCCGGCAATGACAAAGGTCAGCTTGTCGGCGGCAGGGTGGCCGGCGTCGACAAAGGCGCGGCGGACAATGTACCGCAGCCGGCGGCCGGACATTGTGGTAAACTCGCCGGGCACGGCAATGATGACCAGCTGGCCGACCTGCGAGATCTGCAGCGGGAGCACGGTCGGCGTCCACGGGTGCGGCTTGATCTCTCCAACGTCAAGGAGAATCGGCTTGGGTGCGTGACACGCGACCTGCGCCGGTGTCGGCTCCTTGATCAGGCCACGGACCAGATCCCACAGCGGATTGCCCGACGTGGTGTTGTCGCCCTGGTGAAAGTTGAACGCGCCCGGCCCGTCAGTGGTCCCCGCGGCGAACGAGAAGCCGACCGCCGGCCGGCAGGTGGTCACCGGGCTCGGCGCACCCGAAAACTTGGGCGCGACAGTAACGTTGGTCATGTCGACCCAGGCGTGAACCGAGGCCACGCCGAGCGCGGTGTCGAGTGCTTCGTTGGCCGACTGCGCCAGCCGCATCGCCTCGTCCGCCTGCGCCGCCCCGATGGTACGGGTGCTTTCAAAGTCGTTGTCAAAGCCACCCGGGCCGACACCAAAGCACTCTTCGTTGCGGCCGTCACAGACCGACTCGCCGTCGGCGCACGGCGTGCCGCCAACCTTGGCGTGGCACCACGCGCCCTCGACGTTCGGCGAGACGTCGCCCTCGTTGGCCTGCCCAAACGCAGCCACAAACGGGCCCTTGCCGGGGAGACTACCGGCAGGATTATGCGCCGCCTCGACAAGCATCGAGGCGTAGCCCTTGTTGTCTCCGGAAACAAGCTTGTTTGTGTTGTGCATCGACGTGCAGTGGACCGCAAAGAACGAGAGCAGCGCCAGCGGCTCGCCGGTGCCTGCATCGTCGAGCGCCACCACCGTCATGTTCTTGTCGACGTCATGCTCAAAGAGCGCGCGCTCCTCGGCCGGATTCGCTAGATACGACGATGGCGAGCGGTTGATGTTGGCGCCCAGCAGCGAGCCGACCTTGAGTCGGCCCTTCAGTTCGTGGCGCGCGTCGGCATGCGCGTCGAGAATGGCTGCCACGATGCCGCCCACTACCGTGTCAAAGTGCTTCTTGTCGAACCCGAGCGTGGTGATATCGTACAACAGAGACTGCGTCGAGTACGCGCCTGGGCCCGAGTGCGTGTGGATGCCCGAGAGCATGACATTCTCGTGCGAGTACACTCCAGGCAGCTTAGCCTCGAGCGCCTCCACCACCGCCAGCTTGACCCCGAGCATGACCATGCACACATCGACCGAGACATAGGCAAATCGTGCGCCGTCGTCACTCAAAACACCATCGCACGCGCATGGAGCCGAAAGTGCAGCCCGCCTCCAGTCTGGCTCGGCTCGGCGTAGCCCATAAAGTCCACCTCGGTCGCAGGTCCCGTCACGTCACGAATGCCCCGCCCAAAGGTCACCCTCGCGGCACTCGCACCCTCCGCCCAAACCAATGCCAACACCACGAACACCACCGCAACCACTGCCATCGAAGAGACCTTCGCGTGTAGTCCACGAGTTGTCGTCGCCAGGCCCATGCTGAGAGAGAGTTCGGTATGCCGATAGAGAGCGGTGCGGGGGGGGGGGTGCGGGGGGAGGGGTGACGGGGAGGTAGCGTGGCGGGAGGAGAACGGTGGAAGCGCATGACTTTCAGGGTTTTTTCCCCGTTCCGGACCTCATCCATCGATCCTCTGCTTGGACGAGGCGTTGCGGGCAGAGTGATGGAGAGTCGATCTCGTGCTCGACCTCTATATGTGAAGAGTGCAGATCCATCTCATGGCAGCAGCAGGAGTGCGCTCGAGATCGGTGTCTACACCCTGGTGGTGTCCAGGTGCTTGTAGTGATGCGACGCTGTGCAGGTGATGGTCGTCGCCGAGGAGCTGGTCAGATGATTTGAGAAGAGCACAACCACAGACATCGATCCGCCGCTCTCCCTACATCATCGACGTTCGCTACACTCACGGTCGAGTGCCAGAGTACGCCATTACCAACATGGCTCTTGTGTAGTCGCCAGGGGGATGCCGTGGGCTGTCTCAGCTCTGAAGAGCGCAACGAAAAAATCGAAGATCACAATGCGGTGACATAGTAAACATCACCGGTTATATTTGTACGGCGTTTAAACCCAGCCGAGGCCAAGAACCACCCACCCATCTTGCCCCTGTCTCTCTCTCTCCCCCCCCCACCAGACCACTCTCCTTTTCCTCCACCTCTAGCTTCGAGATCAAGCCGCGAAATTCATTGGAGCGTTCTCCCATCAGCTCGTTGTGTGGCGAGGGACGGAAAGGCGACAGCGAAAAAGGAACGTTCGCTCCGAAGAAGACGCCTGCACAGGTTGGCAGGCGGAGGAGGAGGCGGGGGAGGGGAAGGGGGAGGGGAGGAGGAACACTCGACAATGTCAGCAGCAACAACGACAATGGAGACGCAAGGCGAAGTGGCGGGAATGAGCGGGGACGGTGGTGGTGGCGCTGAGCAGGGAGCAAGCAGCGGTGGTGGTGGGGCTGGTGGTGGGGGTGGGGCCGCCGGCCCGTCGCGGACGGGACCGCCGCTGCCGCCGCCTCTGCCTGGCACGCGCGAACTGATGAAGGTGCCGGACGGAATGCTCGGCCAGTGGGTGGAACGCATTCAAGGCTACTCTGTGCAGTATGACGCGGTTCGGTGGGCAGCCAAGAACCTGTGCGGCCCCCCGCGTGTCTTTACACTCGAGCACAACTACGGCGACATTCGCGGCTCGTTTACCCAGCCGTACGGCACGCAGGGCACGCACTGGGTCGAGTTCTTTGTGGCCGAGCCGGTCATTGTTGCTTCGGTCCACATCTATGAGACGTACAATCCGGGCGCGGTGACCCGGATTGCTGCGTGGGACTACGGCGCCGAAGAGTGGGTTTCGCTGTGGACTGGGGCCGGGCGCCGGGCGCCGCCGGTCTCGCGCATCTTTGCACCGCCCCTGGCGAACGTCGACATGTCGTCGGACCTGTTCCGGCTGGAGATTGACGTTGACTCGGTGCCGGGCTACAACGAGATCGACTGCGTGCGGGTCATCGGCGTCCCGCTCAACGACGAGCTGCGGGCCGAGCTGGAGGCCAAGGCGGCGCGGGCGCGCAAGCTCAAAGCCTTTGAGGCTGCGGTCGACTCGATGCCGAAGCGGCAGGTGCGAACGGACCTCAAGTCGAAGAAGGGCAAGTTTGCCGCGCTCTCGCTGGCGGTCGACGTCAACGCGGCCAACGCGTGGTTTGCGGCCGGGACCGAGCCGAGCTCGGCAGTCGGCCCAGCCTCGGCCGGCTCGCTGGCGCACCCGTTCGAGATGCACATTCGCGCCGGCATTCTCACGCCCAAGGCTGTTCTCGCCCAGTCGATCAAGAACTTCCGGGCCTTTGACGCCAACCCGCTTCCGGAGCTTGTCCGCGCCGCCGCCTCGCGCTCGTTGGCCAAGGTCAAGTCTGTGTTGCAGGCCAACCCGGGCATGCTCTCGCGGCGGCCACCGCCCGAGTCGCTCGACATGCACACTGTTTACATCTCAGCGGTCAACGGCTACTCGGCGCAGTACGACACCTCGAACTGGGCGGCGACGAACGTCATCGGCGCGCCGCGGGTTTACCCTCAGTACGGTGACATTGCCGGCGCCTGGGCGCAGCCGTACAACTCGCAGAACATCGAGTGGATCGACGTGAGTATCGAGCGCGAGCTATGGATCACCTCCATCGACGTGTACGAGACGTATAATCCGGGCGCTATCACCCACATCCAGGCCTGGGACAACTCTGCCGAGGCCTGGGTCGACCTCTACGTCGACGAGAACCCACGGGCGGCGCCGGCGGTCTCGCGCATCTTTACGCCGACGCTCACGCTGCCGCAGTTCCCTTGCTCGCGACTCAAGCTTGTCCTCAACTGCGCGGCTGTCAACGGATACAACGAGATTGACGCCATCCAGGTCCACGGCGGAACGTGTGAGAACTACGTGCCACCTGCGGTGACACCAGCGCGCGACGTGGGCTCGTCGTCGTCGCGTGGCGGGCCAGAGACGCCGGCGTCGTTTCGGGCCTTTGACGTCTGGCAGCGCTCGCCGCTGCTTGTGGCCATCCGGACTGGCCTCACGCCCATTGTCTCGTACCTCATCGCGTACGGCGCCGATGTGGCGCGCAAGTCGCTGTACGGCTACTCACCGCTGGCGTGGGCCATCATGCAGGACACCAAGCAGCCGATTGTGTACACGCTGCTTGCGCACCCGGCGGTCCACGCGCCGTACAAGTCGGGCAGCGCGGCCGAGTACGCACTCAACGACCACGGCGAGACAGTGCTGCACCTTGCGGTGAAGCACGACGACCCCAAGCTTGTGGCGCTCCTTCTTGCGCTCGAGTCGTTTGATCCGACGCTTGAGTCGAGCGCTGGGCTGACGCCGCTGGCTATGGCGACCTCGGGTCGAGTTCGCGCGGTCTTTGCCGAGGCTGGCGGTGCAGCGTCGAGCAGCGCCGAGCTGCCGGCCTCGCTTGCCGATGCTGCGGCGACCGGCTCGGTCCTCACCGTCAAGCGAGTGTTGGATCGCGATGGCGTGGCAGCGGCGGCAGCGACCGACGACCGCGGACGGACGGCACTCTTTCACGCGCTCGACGCGCGTGCGGACGAGGTGACGGCTCTCCTGCTTGCGTCGCGGGTGAGTGTTGACTGCGCCGACCACGCGGGCAACACGCCGTTGATGCGAGCGGCGGCGTCGGGCTCTGCGGCTGCTGTGGCGATGCTACTGACGCGGTCAGTGACGCGCGAGGCGGAGTCAGCAACGGCGGTCAATGCCAACGGCGACACTGTGCTACACTGCGGGGCGCGGTCGGGCTCGGCCGAGGTTGTGGAGCTCTTGCTGGCGTTTGACGGCTTTGGTGCTGCCGCAGGCATGGCAAACAACCAGGGCCTCACGCCAATCGGAGTGTGCTCGTCGGGCGAGGCAGCAGCGGTGCTGGAGGCTGCTGGCGCTGGTGGGTCGTGGGACGGGTCCGAGGGCCGGGTGTGCGCGGTGTGCTTCATGGCACCGCCGCTCGGCTCGGAGGGCATGGTGTGGCGGTGCGAGTGCAACGCTGAGTTTTGCGAGGAGTGCTTTGTGCACATGGCCAAGGCGGCGCTGCACGACGGCGAGTTCCCGCAGTGCTGCAATGCGGCGTGTGAGGCGACGGTTCCGATGTCTGTCCTCCGCAAGGCACTTCCGGTATCTGAGCTGCTGCTTGTGGCGGCGGTGATGGTCAACGAGAGCTACGACACGGACGGGGCGTACCGGACCAACTGTTCGGTCTGCTCGCGGATCAACGACATCCGCGACGTGCTAGCGTCGGGCTCGGCGCGGTTCCAGTGCGATCACTGCGGAGTGTACTGCTGCGCCGTGTGCGAGCAGATCCATCCGCGGCGGAGCCCGCCGCGCAACGAGCAGGATGTGGCGCGCAACGCCATGGACGACGAGATCCACGCGGGGTGCGTCGACAAGTTTGGCTCGCTGCAAAAGTTCCTCGAGTTCTATGCGTTGGTCACCGAGAAGGCCATGCGCAAGTGCCCAACGTGCGGCGAGGTGGGAATCAAGGACGACGCATGCTGCCACCTGCACTGCGTGTGTGGGAACGACTACTGCTATCTCTGCGCGCGGAACCGCGACCAGCTCCACGGAACGTCGGTCTCGACCCACTCGACGTACGGCTCCGAGTGGCAGACCGACACCGAGTACTGCTGGATGTACGCGCACCATTCGGCCAACATCGATCCGCGGGTGGCGGCGCTCGGATGTGGCCAGGCCGGGTGCCGGCCAAGCGGCTCGTGCCCGTCGGATGCCACCTGCCGCGTCGAGCGCGACCGCTTCGCCAATGCACTCATGGCCACCATCCGAGTTCGCTGCGCCGTCCTTGACTTTATGCGACGGATGGGCAAGTCCGACTTTGTGGCCATGATCACCCGCTTTGGCTGGCGCGACCTTGTCAACAACCAGTACTTTGACGGCAAGTTTCCGCTCGACACCCTCGCCGAGGACGACGTGCCGGACTGGCTTGAGTACGAGCCCGAAAACGTGCGCGAGTTCTACGGCGCTCGCCTCCACTGGTTCATCCACGAGAACGACATTCCCGAGTACGAGCGGGTCCTCACCGCGTGGCGCGAGTCAGGCGGCGCGCCCGTCGGCTGGGCCATCGGCGGCGAGTCCGCAAACCCCGAGCCTGCCGCTGATGATGACGTCGGCACGTCGGCTGCCACTGCCCCTCCCCCGGCTCCGCCGATGCCTGCCGACCCTGTCATCAACGAGCCTCCTCTCGACCTTCCTGACCGGTTTGTCTTCAACGCCCCCGACGGCGTCGACGACGGCGACGATCGCGGACGGCGCCGGCGTGGCTGCGCCATCATGTGATTGATGAAAACCCCGTAGAACGTTCCAATCGCAGCTGTCGAGATGAGAGAGTGGTGGAACAGTCGATGTTTCGATGGGCAGCCGACCGGCCAATCCAGAACAAAAGACTATCGAAAAGCCGAAGCTGATCGAGAGCGAGCCATGGCAAGCAGAGGATGATCCCCAAGGCGAGCCACCACTCCGCTTCACCGACCACAACCATGGACGCTGATCACGCCAAGGCTGTCATTGCCGACCTGGGTCTCGCCCCTGACACTATCGACAACACCGACCTTACCCAGGCCCTTCTTGTCATCCATGCTGCGGTATGTGCCTCCCGTCTCTCCCCGCCCTCCCCTTCCCCCTTTGCGCTCTTCCCCTCCCCCGTTCCCCCTGGTTGGATGCACTCTCCCCTGCATTGTCCATGGCCACCGTGCCGGGCACCCGCACCCCTCCCCCCCTCCCCCTCCCCCTCCCCTCCCCTCCCCTCCCCTCCCCTCCCCTCCCCTCCCCTCCCCCTCCCCCCCCCCCTTCTCCCCCTGCTCTCTTGCTCTCGCCCGTGGTGTCTGTGGTCGCGTCTGCACTCACTCACACGGTCACTCTGACATGGATATCGACCAACCCGACACGACACCCGACACGACGACACCCGGCACGACACAACACCCGACCAACTCGATATGACACCCGACACGACACCCGACACGACACCCGACACGCCACCCGATCACCCGACATACCACCCGATCACCCGACACACCACCCGACACCACACTGCTGATCAACCTCCTAGGTCGGCACGCCCGAGTCTGAGGAGGCTCGCAAGCTGCTCGGCGAGGTGGCCAAGGCGGCCAAGAAGATGGTGGCCGATGAGCACCTGGTGTTCCTCGCGCAGTACGTGGCCGACGAGCGAATCCGCAAGTCGCAGTTCAAGGCCGCAACCAAGTGGCTGAAGAAGGCCAAGGAGATGCCCGTCGATGAACTCGACGTGGCCGACTTTGAGCAGACGACCGGCGTGGGCGTCTCGTACACCGACGACGAGATTGCGGCGGCGGTGGCCAAGACCCTCGCCGACAACGCCGACGACCTCGCCAAGCTCCGCTACCAGATCAAGGCGACCAAGCTCAAGGGCCAGGTCATGCGCTCGCTGCCTTTCGTGGATAGCGATGCAGTCGAGACTATTCTCCAGGCCAAGATGGCCGAGGCGCTCGGCCCGATGACCGAGGCCGACATCGCGGCGGCGGCCAGCGGCAAGAAGGGCGGCAAGAAGGGCGGCAAGAAGGGCGGCAAGGCTGGTGGCAAGGCTGGCGGCAAGGCCGGTGGCAAGGCCGGTGGCAAGGCCGGTGGCAAGGCCGGCGCGTCGGCGCCCGACGGTACTGACGCTGCGCCGGCCAAGTCGGTCCGCACGCTCCCTGTCACGCTCGACGACCCGGCGACGCTGCCAGACGCGCCGGTGACGCTCAAGTACTCGCAGCGGACGTCGGTGCGGCACGTGCTCTCGGCCGGGCTCAAGTGGTCCGGCGCGCCGGTCACGGTCGCCGGCTGGGTCCGCACCATCCGCAAGCAGACGACCATGGCGTTTGTGGAGCTTGTCGACGGTTCCACCATCAAGGGCCTGCAGGTCATTGTGGAGGAGGACAAGATCGGGTTCGCTGAGCTTCAGGCGGCGGCGACGGGTGCGTCGCTCAAGGTCGTCGGCACCATTGTCGAGTCGCCCGGTAAGAACCAGGCGGTGGAGATCAAGGCGACGACGGTGGAGATTCTCGGCGAGTGCTCCCCCGACGAGTACCCGCTGGCCAAGTCGCGAATCAAGCTTGAGACCATGTGGCCGCTGGCGCACCTGCGTGTGCGGACCAAGGTGGTCGGCGCCGCCGCGCGCGTCCGCAACGTCCTCGCCATGGCCACCCACGAGTTCTTCCAGGGCATCGGCTGTCAGTACGTCCACACGCCACTCATCACGGCGTCCGACTGCGAGGGCGCCGGTGAAATGTTCCGCGTTACCACGCTCCTCAAGGAGGATGGCTTGGTCTCGGAGATTCCGGCCACCGACGACGGCCACGTCGACTACGCGCAGGACTTTTTCTCCAAGCCGGCCATGCTCACCGTCTCGGGCCAGCTCAACGTCGAGACGTACTGCGCCGGCCTCTCGTCGGTCTACACCTTTGGCCCGACCTTCCGCGCCGAGAACTCGCACACCTCGCGCCACCTTGCCGAGTTCTGGATGATCGAGCCCGAGCTTGCCTTTGCTGACATCCACGACAACATGGCGTGCGCCGAGGACTACCTCAAGCACTGCGTCTCGACCGTCATGGCCAAGTGCTCCGAGGAGATCAACGTGTTTGACCAGTACGTGGCGCCGGGCCTCATCGACCGCCTTTACAACATTGTCGAGTCGGACTTTACCCGCATCACCTACACTGAGGCCATCCGCGTCCTCGAGGCTGCCATCGCCGCCGGCGACGTCTCGTTCGAGAAAAAGGTCGAGTGGGGCATCGACCTTGCCTCGGAGCATGAGCGCTACCTCTGCGAGCAGGTCTACAACATGCCGACCATCGTCTACAACTACCCTAAGGACATCAAGGCCTTCTACATGCGCCTCAACGACGACCCCGAGGCTCCCGCGCCTACCGTCGCCGCCATGGACGTCCTCTGCCCGCTCGTCGGCGAGCTGATGGGCGGCTCGCAGCGTGAAGAGCGCTACGACGTCCTCGTCGAGCGCCTCAAGGAGGACAACATGCCGCTCGAGCCCTACTGGTGGTACCTCGACCTCCGCAAGTTTGGTTCGGTCGTCCACTCGGGCTTTGGCGTCGGCTTTGAGCGCCTCGTCCTCCTCTGCACCGGCCTTGGCAACATCCGCGACGTCATCCCCTTCCCCAGATATCCTGGTGAGGCACTGTTCTAGGCATCTGTCCGCCCCCCCCCCCCCACCACACCCCTTACTACTACCACCTCCACCACCAAACTCCCCCCCCCCCCCCCTCCCCCCCCCCCTCCCCCCGCCCCCCCC